CATGCAATTTTTTAAATTTTTTGTTAAAAAGAAGAATGGGAAAAAAAATAGAGAGACTTTGAACATTTCTGTGGATATGAGGTATTGTGGTAATTGTAGGAGTGAATGGCGATGGATAAATTCTTGTGGTGACTGCATATATTGTATTGAATGAATGGGTCGTGAATCCGGTTAACTAGGACTAGGATAGTTACTGATGACCAACCTTAACCCACTTCACCCTTCGGTCTTATGCCACAATTATGTATCAAATACATAATAAATATATATTCCTTTTTGTGTGCTTATTAAGATATAAAAAAAAACTTGGCATCATACGGGCATTATGTGATACTATTTGTTGTTACCGCGGTAAATAAAACCTAAGAAAGTTTTTTTTTTATCAATAGAAAGTGTTATGCGCTGAGATACGTTGAAACAAGAAGCGTTAATACTAAAAACCCGTGAGAAGAATTGAGGATTTAATCCAGACATAAACGACTTGAATTGTATGTCGAGCAGACTTAGGAGGCAGTGTTGATTGACACACAGCTGCAAATGTAAGCTGTAAAGCGAAAATTTCATTTTTCGTAAACAACGAATTTAGAGTTGATTCCCCTGATCGAAAGTTGAGTTAAAATACCAGGAGGGGTGGATAAGCCTGGAGGGGTGGATAAGCCTTCACCGAAGAGATTTAGTGAGAATTAATAATATGAGAGAGTGGAAGAAGGGAATTTCACAGAATTATCGAATTCTTTTACTTCGCCAGTTTGGGAGGAGCAGCAAAAGCACTAGCAAAGCCACAGCTTTCCGAGTTGGTGCCAACCGTGCCATCGCGCCTGTTATCAACGCCATTCTCGCATTGACTTCTGGGTTTATATCCATCTTAGCTGAAGACTGTAACAAGGTATTTCAATTTGTTTCACTGTCTCCAGTTACTGACCACTGACTTTAATTGGTTTTCCTGATGGGTTCTTCACTATTCTCATAAGCTTTGTGGTCTCACCATTGATCTCAATTGCCATATAAGGATGCTGTTTTGTTCAGTAACATCTACAGTTTAGTCATGTACGCCGACTGATATGAGGAAGCAGTCTCCCACTCTTCTCTGGGCAAAAATCGTACTGAGAGCCTGTCGGTATGATTTAATTTTTTTATATTTCTTTATAAAATGTTAAACATTGCAATTGGTTCACATATTGTTATAATCTTATAAATATAAAATTATTCTTGTAAATGAACAATTTAATAAATAAACAGTGCTTAATATTTTTGCTGTAATTCTCAAGAACAAAAATGTATAAATCCATTTTCATATGCTTGGGTTTTATTAAATTTCTAAATATAACTTTAAAAAAAACATTTCCGTGAGTATTATAGTTAAAACTGTGTCAAGTGAAAAGTTGTCCTTTTGACACCATTTTTAAGGGGAGTACAAAGGTTAAACTTTGCCGAATTTGGCTTATGGATTGTGATGTTATTTGAACCCGCGGGAACGGTCCTGGTTTGTATAAATTTGCATTCTATTATTTGATCTTTTGTTCTACATACAACCAGAAGTAATGTCCGAATTCTATGTGCAGAAGACATACTTCTCACATCGATGTGGAAACGTAAAATCCCAGCTAGGTCCATCAATGAAGCCCCACACTTGATTGCAAACGCGTTGTTGTTTTCTGGTCGAATAAATCTTACCGTTTTCTAAATTTACTATAACTAAATGATGTGGCTTTTTAATTACTGTCCCCTATGTGGTATTAATTTATACACTTGACTTATTAATGGGATTTTTTAATAGCGTATCTGCTGATTCATTTACTTTCCGCACTTTTCACTGTCGCTCCCCGGACACAAAAAGCACCAGAAAGTTTTATTCTGGACAGAGATCACAAAATTAAACATGATGCTGATTTGCCAAAAGTTTTTGCTCATAATCCTAACGTCTGACCTAACCTATCGTTTGATCTAACGTTTCGTTACGTAGTGTGTTTTTATGCCTGACAACCGTTTCAAAATATTGTTAAATTAAAAAAAAAATGGTGCAAAGATAGAAAATTGTTCCTCCAAATATTTATCTCAGAATAATAATTATTAGATGATACCAAAGAAGCATTGAAATAATCTTATTAAATTTCGGGATTAGAATTTTATTAATTTTAATTTCTCGTTGAAACCGGAAAGAGGTCGACTCAATGTAAAGGGAGCTGAAAATTATTTCTCTTGTTTAAATTGAATAATATTTATACCCAGATTTCTTTTTTCAGTCGAAATCGATCAAAATTTAACGACCTCATTGCAGAATGAATCAGATCCCAAAATTAAAACAGGTGTTAATAGGCGTAGTTGGCTTGTGTAGCTATTAAAAAGGAAATGAAAATTGAAAAAATTATAAACTTTCACTAAATTATTAAATATATTGAACTAAGTATAATGAACTAAAAATAATGAAATTTGCCAAATTTATCTTTTCATGCTAACCTCTGCTAAGCATTCTCACCCGGGGCTCTACTCTCAGTAAATTTAATTATGAATCTTGTCTCACTGTTTTCTTAATCTTGAACAAATGAAGATGTACGAAGATCTATTGTTTATGGACAGGCCCGTCGTCAAATGAGACCTCACCCAGAAAATCATTACCCCACTCCTTTGAAAATGGTGCGAACTAATTTTAATGTGCAAATTCCTACTCGTGGTCTCCCTGACATAAAGTCTGGGTCCTTCTGCTCAAAACACACCGGATTATGTTGCACGATTTCCTCTAATCAGTCCATCACATTGCAATTTATTTCGTTTTGCTTTAATTTCCTTCACAATCATTTGTTTAATCTTTAGCAGGTCATTCAGTCCTTTCTGCTCTTCGGATAGAAGACTTTCTACTATCCATAAAGGAATATATGTCCTCTGCTAATTATTATTTCCTCGTGATTTTCTACATCATCGGGAAACACGTGATCGCTAAATATGGCATGCTTGGATTCATAATTCAGCATCTTTTAGATTAGAGTTTTTCTGCTTTGGTCATCTTTTTCAAGCAGTTTTGAAGTTGCTGAGCCAGTCTATCGTGTAGTGAAGCTATTATGGGTTTCGTTTGGTGATTTCTAGTTGGCTTTCATCTAAAGTGTGTTTCTAAATGTCAATGAATTTAAATGAATTACTATTCTTTCAATTAAATATTTTCTAATTTTTGCTAAACACTATAGAGCAGAAATGCCGAAACTTTATTGTTGCCGGGTTATTTTTGGTATTTTTAAATCTTTCATAAACATAAATGGGTTACTCCACCACTTACCAATATTGTCACATGAGTAGGAAGAACCAAAAATGGTCAGCATTGCTAAGGCCAACTTTTTCATTGATACAAAAGAGTTAAGCAATGCCTGCCGTTTTGCAAGAATGAGGTTCTCAGTTCTGCCTTTCTAAGTGATCATTTTCTTTTGTTACATAGGCTAATGATTTTCTTTCATTTTCTTGTAAATTCAGGTTAAGGCCAATAAATTTTGCCTTACACATTGCATTTGGAAGTTTCCAAGTTATTTAGATAAAGCTAATCAAACATGGATAGTTTAAAATCATGAAATTGAATAGTATGGAGGAATTGAATGAATTGTAAGTTGGTATCTGGGTTCTCGGAATTAACATCTTTCTGAAAGCAAATGCTTGGCACGCTTTACAATTCACGAATACTTTTTGAGTACAGTTTCTCTCCTTGCTGCACTGTCAGTTGACAAACTTGAAGTTTAGAACTTTTTAATAATAGAAAATATTTCAGCTTTCTTCCAGATTTCTTGAAAATATTTCTAGTTTTCTTTCGAAAACTTTAATGTGTCCAAACGTCGACGGTATCACACTTCCATTACTTTTTTTTTTATTCAAGATGAATGTGAAATCTGCAAAAATATTTAAGTCATTCAACCATTTAATGTCAGTCCGTTCTGGATAATCATTTCCTTCTACGCTTAAGAAAAGTCTTATTTATTCTAGCAATTCCAGAAATCGATTTAACACTTGGCCACAGCTTAGCTATCTGACATTTTTGTACATGCGTAAGCCAGTAAATTGCTAGTTAACTTCATTCAGTAGCTTGAAGATTTTACGTTTATTAAGTGTATGAGCAGCTATAAAATTCAAGGAACAAGATATTTTATTGTAATTTCAAAGAAGTTTTTGCACACAGATTCATGATACAAAATACAATGAAATTCAACTAAATTGTGGGTTACATCTTGTTTCAGTAATTGCACAAATTCAGCATTTTTCCAATCATATATACAATATTTCCGAACTTAATGCCAAATTCAAGAAATTCCTTCTTCAATTTATCCGTAATATCTTGCCCTCTAGTTTTCTCTGAAACTGTCATGAATTTGATGACTTCCTTCTTCATTATATTTCCAGGAGGAAATCTTGCAACAACTGCTAAACGAACAGTTGTTACAATTGTCTGTACTTTTATCCAAATGAATTGAAAACATATCTCCGTTTTTCTAATCTAGTATAAGTTGATCCGTTACACCTTTGTCCTTAGCAATTATTCTCTCTCTGGCCGTATTTCTAGCGACTGGCAACTCATTAATTCTTTATTCTGAAGCAGAAAATCTGAGCAGTTCAAAAAGGACCACTACTATCAAAGAGTAACTTCCCATGGTTAGCGATAATAGACGACAACTGAAAACTGGCAGCACAAATATTGTTCTTGTTTTTTGATTTTAAAAATCGTTTTGAAATGAATTCATTGTTGTTCTTGTTGCTTTACTTCTCTCCGAATAATTTCATTTTTTTCTTCACACGTCATTGAATATAAATTCTGATTATGGATTTCAAAATAGCTCTTAGTATTATATGAGCGTGTAACAATTGATCCCTGGTATATACAGCAAAAAGCTTTTTTATTTTGCTCAATAATACCATATTTTTCACTCCACACTTCGTGAAAAAGTCTCCCACTACATTCTGGGTTTATTTTTCTTTCTTCATGGCCATTCATATGAATTATTTTTATAGTCTAAAAGGAACTATCACAAATGAATTCAGAATAGTCAGAAATGTTAAATTATCTGAGCAGACACGAAAATAGATGAGACTACGATGGATAAAATGCAAAGAGAGACAAAACCTTCCTACACAACTGTACAAAACTTTATAAAACTGGCGGAGTGTCAGCTTGATGTAATACACAAGGCGGAAACAAAACTTTTGGAAATTGCTAGATTTGATTAGCTGAACCATATTTCATGGCGTCATTTCATTGACTCCATATGGGTCACTAACAAGTTGATGGTAGGTATGTATATTTCAGTGCACCCACGTCGCTACCGAATGTGACACAAGGTCAGCTTAAAGTGGGTTCAACGGCAATATGTTAAAAAATTGCCCAAGACTCCTCGGCACGTTCTGGAACGACTCAGGCGCCGGGCAAAACACCCAGCCCTCTTTCGAAGGAGAGGTACTCCCTGGGGTTTTTTGCTGTTTTTCTTTTCCTTTTTCGTTTTTTTCTTTTTCTTTCTTTTTCTTTCTCATTGTTTTTCTTATCCTTTTACGTTGTTTTTCTTTTGCGTTGTTTTTCTTTTCCTTTTTCGTTGATTTTCTTTTCTTTTTCGTTGTTTTTCTTTTTCTTTTTCGTTGTTTTTCTTTTCCTTTTTCGTTGTTTTTTTTTTCCTTTTTTGTTGTTTTTCTTTTTCGTTGTTTTTCTTTTCCTTTTTCGTTGTTTTTATTTTTCGTTGTTTTTCTTTTCCTTTTCGTTGTTTTTCTTTTCCTTTTCGTTGTTTATCTTTTTCGTTGTTTTTCTTTTCATTTTTCGTAGTTTTCTTTTCCTTTTTCGTTGTTTTTCTTTTTCGTTTTTGTTTTTCTTTTTCGTTGTTTTTATTTTCCTTTTTCGTTGTTTTTCTTTTCCTTTTTTGTTGTTTTTTTTTTCGTTGTTTTTCTTTTACTTTTTCGTTGTTTTTCTTTTCCTTTTTCGTTGTTTTCCTTTTCCTTTTTCGTTGTTTTTCTTTTTTTTTTCGTTGTTTTTCTTTTCCTTTTTCGTTGTTTTTCTTTTCCTTTTTTTCTTTTTCTTTTTCATTTTTTTTTTCTTTTCTTTTTTTTTTTTTTTCTTTTTCGTTTTCTTTTTTTTTTTTTTTTATTTTTTTCTTTTTTTCTTTTTCCTGTTTTTCTTTTTCGTTGTTTTTCTTTTTCTTTTTCGTTGTTTTTCTTTTTTCCTTTTTCGTTGTTTTTCTTTTCCTTTTTCGTTGTTTTTCTTTTCCTTTTTCGTTTTTTTTTTTTTATTGTTTTTCTTTTCCTTTTTTCTTTTCTTTTTCGTTGTTTTTCTTTTTCGTTGTTTTTCTTTTCCTTTTTCGTTGTTTTTCTTTTTCTTTGTTTTTCTTTTCCTTTTTCGTTGTTTTCTTTTTCGTTGTTTTTCTTTTTCGTTGTTTTTCTTTTTCTTTTTCATTGTTTTTCTTTTTTTTCCCTTTTTGTTTTTCTTTTTTTTTTTTTTTTTTTTTTTCGTTGTTTTTCTTTTTCATTGTTTTTCTTTTCCTTTTTTTTCCTTTTTCCTTTTTGTTTTTCTTTTTTTTATTTTTCTTTTTATTTTTTTCTTTTCTTTTTTTTTTTTCCTTTTTCATTTTTTTCTTTTTCTTTTTTTTTTTTTTTCCTTTTTTCGTTTTCTTTTTCCGTTTTTCGTTTATTTTTTTTTTCTTTTTTTTTTTCTTTTCGGTTGTTTTTGTTGTTTTTCTTTTTCGTTTTTTTTCTTTTTCTTTTTCGTTGTTTTTCTTTTTCTTTTTCATTGTTTTTCTTTTCCTTTTCATTGTTTTTTTTTTTTCGTTGTTTTTCTTTTCCTTTTTCGTTGTTTTTCTTTTTCGTTGTTTTTCTTTTCTTTTTCTTTTTTTTTTTTTCGTTTTTTCTTTTTTTTTTTTTTTTTTTTTTTTTCTTTTACTTTATTTTTTTTTTTTTTCTGTTTTTCTTTTCCTTTTTCGTTGTTTTCCTTTTCCTTTTTCGTTTGTTTTTCTTTTTCGTTGTTTTTCTTTTCCTTTTTCGTTGTTTTTCTTTTCCTTTTTCGTTTTTTTTCTTTTTTTTTCGTTGTTTTTTTTTTTTTCTTTTTTTTTTTCTTTTCTTTTTTTCGTTTTTTTCTTTTTCTTTCTTTTTTCCTTTTTTTTTTTTTTTTTTTTTTTTTTTTTTTTTTTTTTTGTTTTTTCTTTTCGTTTTTTTTTTTTTTTTTTTTTTTTTTTTCTTTTTTTTTTTTTTTTTTTTTTCATTTTTTTTCTTTTTCTTTTTTTTTTCTTTTCCTTTTGTTGTTTTTCTTTTTTTTTTTTTTTTTTCCTTTTCTTTGTTTTTTTTTCGTTTTGTTTTCTTTTTTTTTTTTATTTTTTTCCTTTTTCTTTCTTTTTTGTTTTTTCGTTTTTTTTTTTTATTTTTTTTTTTTTTTATTTTTTTTCCTTTTTGTTGTTTTTTCTTTTTTTTTCCTTTTATGGTTTTCTTTTTTTTTTTCCTTTTCGTTGTTTTTTTTTTTTTTTTTTTTGGTTTTCTTTTTCATTTTTCGTTGTTTTTCTTTTTGTTTTTCTTTATTTTTTTTTTATTTTTCTTTTTTTTCTTTTTCTGTTTTCATTTTTTTTTTTTTTTTTTTTTTTTTTCTTTTTCGTTGTTTGGCTTTTTCGTTTTTTTTTCTTTTTCCTTTTTTTTTTCTTTTTTTTTTTTCCTTTTTCTTTTTTTTTTTCTTTTTCATTGTTTTTCTTTTTTGTTTTTTTTTTTTTTTTTTTTCTTTTTTCTTTTCTTTTTTCGTTTTTTCATTTTCCTTTTTTTTTTTTTTTTTCTTTTTCGTTGTTTTTCTTTTTCGTTGTTTTTCTTTTCCTTTTTTGTTGTTCTTCTTTTTCGTTGTTTTTCTTTTTCGTTGTTTTTCTTTTCCTTTTTTATGATTTTCCTTGTTCTTCCTTTTCGTTGTTTTTTTTTACTTTTTCATTTTTTTTATGGTTTTCCTTTTTTTTCTTTTTTTCGTTTTTTTTTTTTTTGATTTTTGGTTTTTTTGGTTTTCCTTTTTTTTTTTTTTTTCGTTGTTTTTTTTTTCTTTTTTTTTTTTTGGTTTTCCTTTTTCTTTTTTTTTCTTTTCCTTTTTCATTTGGTTTTCTTTTTTTATTTTTTTTCCTTTTCTTTTTGGCTTTTTTTTTTTTCTTTTTATTTTTTTATTTTTCATTTGTTTTTTCTTTTCTTTTTATTTTTTTTTTCTTTTGTCTGTTTTTTTTTTTTCTTTTCTTGTTTTTCTTTTTTTTTTTTTTTCTTTTTTTTTTTCTTTTTTCCTTTTTTTTTTTTTTTTCTTTTTTTTCGTTTTTTTCTTTTGTTTTTTTTTCTTTTTTTTTTTTTTCTTTTTTTTTTTTTTTTTTTTTTGGTTTTTTTTTCCTTTTATTTTTTTTCTTTTTCGTTTGTTTTTCTTTTTGGTTTTTTTTCTTTTTCCTTTTCTTTTTCTTTTTTTTCATTTTTCTTTTTTTTTTTTTTTTTTTTTCATTGTTTTTCTTTTCGTTTTATCTTTGGCGGCGTTTTCTTTTTATTTTTTTCCTTTTCTTTTTTCGTTGTTTTCTTTTTTTGTTTTTTTTTCCTTTTTTTTGTTCTTTTCTTTTTTTTGTTTTTTTTTTTTTGTTTTTTTCTTTATGGTTTTCCATTTTTTTCCTTTTTTTTTTTTTCTTTTGCTATTTTTTTCGTTTTTATTTTTTTTTCTTTTTTTATTTTTTTTCTTTTTTCTTTCGGTTTTTTTTTTTTTTTTTTTTCCTTTTTTTTTCTTTTTCTTTGTTTTTTCTTTTTTATTTTCTTCCTTTTCGTTTTTTTTCTTTTTTAGGTTTTTTTTTTTCCTTTTTTTTCTTTTCTTTTTTTTTTCGTTTTTTTTTTCTTTTAGGTTTTTCCCCTTTTTTCTTTTTTTTTTTTTTTTCGTTTTTTTTTTATTTTTTTTTTTGGTTTTTGATTTTCCTTTTTTGTTTTTTTTTTTTTTTTTTTGTTTTTCCTTTTGTTGTTTTCTTTTCTTTTTTTTTTTTTCTTTTTCTTTGTTTTTTTTTCTTTTTCTTTTTTTTTTTTTCCTTTTCTTTTTTTTCGTTTCAGAGCTTTTTTTTTTTTTTTTGTTTTTCTTTTCATTTTTTTTTTTTTATATTTTTATTGTTTTTTTTCTTTTCCTTTTTCTTCCTTTTTCTTTTTCTTTTCTTTTTTTTTTTTTTTTGTTTTTTTTTTCCTTATTTTTTCGTTTTTTTTTTTTCCTTTTGGTTTTTTTTTCTTTTCCTTTTTCATTTTTTTCTTTGTTTTTTTCTTTTTTTTTTTTTTTTTTTTTTCTTTTATTTTTTCTTTTTTTTTTTTTTCTTTTTCATTTTTTTTTTTTGATTTTCCTTTTTTTCTTTTATTTTCTTTTTCTTTATTTTTTGTTTTTTTTTTTTTTTTTTTTTTTTTTTTTTTTTCTTTTTTTTTCTTTTTTTTTTTTTCTTTTCTTTTTTTTTTTTTTTTTTTTTCCTTTTTTCTTTTTTTTTTTTTTTTTTTTGTTTTTCCTTTTTCCTTTTCTTTTTCATTTTTTTTTTCCTTTTCTTTTTCTTTTCTTTTGTTTTTCTTTTTCTTTTCATTTTTTTTTTTTTTCGTTTTTTTTTTTTTCTTTTTCTTTTGTTTTTTCTTTTCCTTTTTCGTTTTTTTTTTCATTTTTTTCTTTTTCATTGTTTTCTTTTTCTTTTTTTTTTTTTTTTTTTCATTTTTTTTTTTAATTTTTTCTTTTTTTTCCTTTTTTTCATTTTCTTTTTTCTTTTTTTCTTTTTTTTTTTTTTTTCCTTTTCTTTTTTTTCTTTTTTTTTTTCATTTTTTTCCTTTTCCTTTTATTTTTTTTTGATTTTCTTTTTTTTTCCTTTTCTTTTTATTTTTCCTTTTTTGGTTTTTCTTTCTTTTTTTTTCTTTTTCCTTTTCGTTTTTTTTTTTTTTTTCATTTGGTTTTTTCTTTTCCTTTTTTTCTTTTTCCTTTTCATTGTTTTTCTTTTCGTGGTTTTTTTTTCTTTTTCTTTTCTTTTTTTCTTTTCGTTTTTTTTTCCTTTTTTTTCTTTTTTTTTTTATTTTTCTTTTTTTTTTCTTTTTTCGGCGGCTTTTATTTTTTTTTTTTCCTTTTTTCGTTTTTTTTTTTTTTTTTTTTTTATTTTTTCTTTTTTTTTCTTTTTTCTTTTCCTTTTTCATTATTTTTCTTTTTTTTTTTTTTTTTTTTGTTTTTTTTTTCGTTTTTCTTTTCCTTTTTTTTCTTTTTTTTTTCATTTGTTTTTTTTTTTTTCTTTTTTTGTTTTCTTTTTTTTTCTTTTTCTTTTTTTTCTTTTTCTTTATTTTTTTTTATTTTTTTTTCTTTTCTTTTTCTTTTCATTTTTTTTTCCTTTTTTTTTCTTTTTTTTTTTCTTTTCTTTTTTTATTTTTTTTTCCTTTTTCATTTATTTTCTTTTTTCATTTTTTCTTTCCTTTTTTTTTTTTTCTTTTCCTTTTTTACATTTTTTCTTTTCTTTTTTTCCTTTTTTTCTTTTATTTTCATTTTTTCTTTTCTTTGTTTTTCTTTTCCTTTTCGTTATTTTTCTTTTATTTTTTGTTTTTTTTTTTTTTTGTTTTCTTTTCTTTTTCGTTTTTTTTTTCCTTTTCATTGTTTTTCTTTTCATTTTTTTTTTTTCTTTTTTCGTTGTTTTCTTTTCTTTTTCATTTTTTTTCTTTTTTATTTTTTTTTTTTTTTTTTTTTTATTTTTTTTTCTTTTTCTTTTTTTTTTTTTCATTTTTTTTTTTTTTTCTTTTTTCATAGTTTTCTTTTTTTTTTCTTTTTTCTTTTCCTTTTTTTTTCTTTTCCTTTTTTTTGTTTTCCTTTTCATTGTTTTTTTTTCTTTTCATTTTTGTTTTATTTTTTTTTTTTTTTTTTTTTTTTCTTTTTTTTCTTTTTCTTTTTTTTTTCTTTTATTTTCTTTTTTTTTTTTGTTTTTCTTTCTTTTTCATTTTTTTTTTCTTTTCTTTTTTTTCTTTTCCTTTTCATTTATTTTCTTTTTCTTTTTTTTTTTTTTTCTTTTTTTCTTTTTTTTTTCATTTTTTTCTTTTTCATTTTTCTTTTTTTCTTTTTCATTTTTTTTTCTTTTCATTATTTTCTTTTCCTTTTTTT